CCCGTTTCATCTCCCCCTCCCCCCCCCATGCCAACCTCCACCCCCCCGCCCCGCCACCACCACTTGCTTGCGCCTGGTGTGCCAAAAATGTTGGTGTGCAATTCTCTGACCAAATAAGGCAAGAACAACCATAAACAAGGACCCCCTCGCACTGCCGCCTCAGACACCGGCAGCCCCAGCCCTACAGCCACCATGCCAGCCTGCTGCAGCCAGACCTAGCGAGGGAGGGAATAGGGCTGTGGAGGCGGAAACCTGGCCTCGCTCCCCACAAAAAGCAGCACCATTGTTCCCCAAGGTATGGTGACATCCCGTAGCCTTGCTGGCCACCTGCGGCTCTGACCTTTCTCCAGATGTTTCCCCGGCAGTGTTGGCTCAGCCCAGGCCCCCTCGGCACTGTCCTCACGCTGGATGTTGAAGTTCTCGTAGGAGTCCCAGCGGATGAGCGGGTCAGATGTGTTGTAGTCCACTGAGACGCTGGGGCCATTCTCTAGGTGCTCCATGCCTGGGAGGACAAAGGACAGTCCACTGGAGTGAAAACAGAGCTGGCACATGAGGGATGGGGCCAAGAGATGGCACAGGGGATGGAAAAAGGGGAAATAAGGTAGGAGGGTTGTGGGCGAGTTGCCTTGGGACAGAGAGGTGGATGGTCAGCCTCTTTTCCAAGGTAACTAGCAATAGGTCCAGAGGGAATGGCCTCTAATGGTGCCAGAGAAGGTTCAGGTTAGATATTAGGAAGAATTTCTTATCAGAAAGAGCGGTTGGGCATTGGAACAGGCTACCCAGGGAGGTGGTGGAGCACCATCCCTGGAGTTGCTCAACGAAAGGGTAGACATGGTACCAAGTGACACAATTAGCAGGCAACATTAGTGGTAGGTGGGCAGTTTGACCGGCTGATCTTACAGATCTTTTCCAACCTTAAAGATTCTATGGTCCTATGGGAAGGATTGCCCTAGGGCTGTACTTTTGGGGATGTAGATCCTCCTTGCGGGTTGAGCCAGCCTTACCTTGGATCTTCTCAGGGCCATAGGAGAACACAAACTCCACCTTTCCATATTCAGGGAAGCGTTCATCTGGCAGGAAGAGAGCAGAGCAAAGGGATATCACCATCTGTCTTTCCAACAGCACACAAACAAGCATAACAGACCTGCACAAAGCACAGGGCACCTGCCCTGCAGAATGGTTTATGTTGGAGGGGACCTTAAAGATCATCCACTTCCAACCCCCCTGCCATAGGCTGGCTGCCAGCCACTAGATCAGGTTGCCCAGGGCTCCATCCAACCTAGCCTTCAAGATGGGGCATTCAAAACTTGTCCAGGCAATCTGTTCCAGTACCTCACCACCCAGCCAGCTGACCGCCTCAACCAGCTCAAGCAACATCCTTAGGCAACGATATCCAGATTTGGGATGATGCTGTCATCTGTCCCCACTTGGCACCACACCCATCATACAGATCAGGATGGCCCTGGTTCATCTCCACCATGGTCAGGAATGGGAAGAGGGCTGCCCACCACCAAACCCTTTCCCTAGATCAGCAGGAAAGCCCAGTCTCACGCAGCCTGGCAGATGGGGGATGGTCATTCTGGTCTGTGGGGGCTGCATACCCTAATTGTTCCCAGGCAGTGAGAGCAGAACCGGAGCTGCAGGAGTGGAAAACTGGGAGAAAAGAGGGAGAGGCTGCATCAGACAGCGCAGTTACCTCTGAATGCTTCATCCAGGTCCTCCTTGCCAAAGACGATGTCCAAGTCGTGCACAGCGCAAGTGTGGAATTGCACGCGGAAAATCACATCACGGGTTGGGCTGCGGAACTTCTTGTGGTAGCACTTGAGCTGTGGGACAGCAGGGATTAAACGAGCCTCCAGGCTGCCAGCATGACCTTAGGGCACGAGGACCACTGATCCCTAGCTCCCCTTGTGGGATGGGGTGAGCTCCTTACCAAGATATCGCCTTTGAGCAGCAGCCCCGGCTCGATGGTGATGCAGATGCCCGTCTGGCTGTCCCCTTGCACATTGCTGTGGAGAAGGACAGTGTGAGGACATGAGCCCCCACATCACCCAGCCTCCACCAGCCCCCTTCCACCCAATCCCTCCAGTCAGGGGCTCAAAGCACAGGGCTCCCCTTGCCTCAGTTTTCCTGCCTGCAACCCCACCATGCAGCAGGGAGCTTCCTGTGAGCACTGGCGTCAGCGCTCAGCAGTAGGGGACAAGCACAGGGGATGCGGGAAGAAGGGAGTTGGATTTCACAGGCAAGATAAACCTGGAGTTTATTACTGGTGTCCCATAAACAGTCTATTAAAAGCTGAAAGGCGAGGCTGGGGTGGCAGTAAATCTCAGCTAACGGGGATAGATGGATGGCGGGGATAGGAGTTCTTGGTTCAGGGGGATTGGATGGGAATACCCCAAAGGCAATGGGCTCTGTTCCCCTTAAAGGGGCCCATCTGAAGGCTGGGTGTGGGGCCAGGAGCTGGGGGATCCATATGGGATGCGGCCCCAGCAGAGCATCCAGGCAGCTGGAGAAATTAGCTTCTTTGACTGCTCCCAGGGGCCCTGGGGCTGGGAACAGGGACACAACCCAGCTCCGTGTGGTAGCATCAGCAAAATGGTATTGGGTAAGTAGTGCAGAGGTTAAAAAGTGGAAAACTATTCTGGGGGAGGAAGAGAGGGAGACTGTTCTGCAGGCTCTGATGAAGATGCTCTTCACAGCCACCTTGCAATATGCTCTGTACCCAAGCGCCCCCCAGCAGGGTGCTAGCAGGGCATCAGCCCTACAGGATTCCTATAGGGAGGGAGAACCATTACTAGAGAAGTGCCTCACATCATGCTGCAGCACAGAGATGGGTTTTACCCAGAAGGGAGCAGCCCTGGCAGGAGGAGCATGTCTCTGGCCAGCGGCAGGAGAACCGCCTCTGCCCCCAGGGAACGGTGAGGTGTCCCCAGCCCCAGGCTCTGCACAGCTCCAGGCTCCCTCTGCTGATGCTCAGAGTCACTACAGCCCTCCAGCAGACTGGGCCAGGCCAGTACAGCCCAGTATGGCCAGTTCCTCCCTCCAAGGAAGTAGGGAGTCCCTTTTTTTCCCCAACTGGCGGGAATCAAGAAGCACTGGGATCACTGGAGATATGGCCTTGAAATATCTCCATCCCTCCTCCAAGCTGCAAGCCACCTCCCCAGCTGGACAGAAAGGGGAGCACACTGTCAAACATGCAGAGATAGTTACTAGATCCCTGATGTGTAGACAGGCTGCATGGCCTGGTAGATCTTCAGGAAGGGCCGACAACCTGGAAGACATCAATGAGGGAGAGAAGGCACGTTTTTAGCCGGCAGGGTGGAGGGGCAGGGATTAGTCACGGGGTAGAAATCCAAACAGGGACAGAGCCAAGGCAAACAGCCACTCCCACCCCAGCCAGCCCGCACTGGTGAGGCCTCCAGCAGCGGGCAACATCTGGGATGGGCAGAAAGGGATGCTCCTGACTACACAGGGCTGAGAGCAGTGTGGGAGCCCCCAGAGCCCAACTGGGTCCTATAGGACACACGTGGGGCTAGCAGTGGAAGTGAGATGGAGCCTAATAGGCTCTGAGTATGGCATCTCCTCCAACTGCCCCAGCAGGCATCAGCATCCAGTAGGTACTGCCTCCCCTGCCCAAAACCCAGTCTGGTGCCATTCTCCAAAAAGCCATCAGAAAAGCCTTTATTGCTGATCAGTATCCAGCCCTAAGGGGGAGCAACCCCAGAGCGCATTCCTGCACAGTAGCACCCTACTAAAGAGAAGAGAACAGTTCTAGAGAGGAGAAGGATAGAAAGCATTCAGATTGCTCAGGATATTGTGAAAAGTAACCCCCTTGGAGAACAAGGAGCAAAGGCTCAGGGGCACCTACCGCCTTTCGATTCAAAGTTGGGGATGCCGTGCATGATGACGTGGTGCAGGAAGAGGGGTTTGTTGTTCATCTTGATGCTGCCAGAGAGGAGCCCACTGAAGTAGTGGATGTATCTGGAAGAGTGGACAGGCAACTCAGGGACAGGTCCCACAGCCCCAGCCGTGGGACAAACCCAAGGCCACGTGCCAGAACACACCTCTTCTGGGAGGGCTGTCCCACCGGCACCACCTTGTCCTCATAGAAGCGCTTCATGGCAAACCTGTCCAGAGCCTGGTCAGCACTGCGGGGACAAAGGGTTACATAAGAGAAGGAAATCAGTGCAGTGCTGAGCAGGAGGTAAGGAAGCTCTGAGACTGCACCATTGCTCTCACCTGGCTGAGATATTGCTGTAGTGCATGTAGGCAGCCACCACTACCCCCAGGCGGCCTCGGTTCCCCTGCAGGTAACAGAAAGGATATCATAGGGGTGACAGTGCCCATCAGCACCCCACACTCCCAAATCTTACAACACACACCCCAATCTGCACAATGAGCCGCCAAACATCAGGTTCCCTACACCTCTCAGCTTGCTCAGCTCAATCCCTGCAGCCCCCCTTTGGGGTCCAGCCCACCTTGTTGTGCAGCACCACCACATTGTGAGCCGCCGCGTTCAGCCACGTGTCCATAGCTTTGCAAATGCTGCAGATCTTCTCTAGTGCCGGCGTGTGCAGGTCAGGCCATCCAAAATCCAGCACCTGGGCAAGGAATAGGGGGTAGGGGGACAATCAAGAGTCAAAACCACATCACTTCTGCCTCTGCAGTGCACAGTTAAGCTCTTCCAGGCCCTCCACCAGCTCTCCTGCTGCCAAGACCCTGTCCTGAGCTTGGGAATGTTAGGTCCCCATATCCTAGCTCCTCAACACCCATCTCAGCCACTCAGGAGACCCCACATTCCCAGGGACGAAGATGGTTCTCCAGGGGAAACAAGGCAGCACTCCAAGGGATGCCAACTTGAGGTGGTGGGGGAAGTCCTGATGCTCTTTTCTGGGCTTTCCCTTCCCTGCCCCTCCAGCTGCTTGGTGAGGCAGGAGGGTTGCACTGGGAAGCTGTTCCCACTGCCCTGCCCCAGCCTCAAAACCCCCTGCTCCCTGCTGTGACCCACCTTGGGGTGAAGTTTGCTGATGTCATGTCTGCGCTCTGACAGATTGAAAAGCTTTGGGAAAGAGAAAAGAAAGTGTGAGGAGATGTCTTATTTTCTAATGCCACCCCAACCTCTTCTTCATCCTCAAACCTCCCCAAAAACCCACTTCCCCAAACACATTAATCCCAGTAATGCCCTGCCACAGGGCACTACCATGGCCAAAAATTCCCATGGGTCCAAAAGGGGCTGGAAACCTCCAAGAAAGGAAAAACACCACCTGTGTCAGCGCAAAGATTCTCAATCTCCAGCTCAGCGCATCAGGGTGAAGACTGACCGGAGGTGAGGATGTGGCACCCATTCCCTAACAGCATCCCAGCCCCATACTCAGGCTGTCAGGTCCTCTCACCACGTAGTTGTCCCCATGCTTGGACTTCAGCATGTGGGCCACCTCGCGGAGGTTGCTGCGAAAGCTCTGCTCCTCAGCTGTGCTGGGGTAGGAGACAGCAATGATGCGCTCCGTGATGTACACCAGGTCCAGCTCACAGCTGCTCTCCATGGCTGCTGTCACACTCATGCTCCTGAGCAAGGAAGGAGACTTCCATCAGGATAAGGCACCAAGGAGGGGACATGATGACCCTGCCCACCACCACAGTCATCTGGGTAAAGCAACACAGGCTGAGATGCTTGGGAACGCAGGCACAGGGCCACCCTAAGGCTTTCCTCTGCTCCCAGTACCACTGCCTGCAGGTCCCCAACCCCACGGTGCAGATGTTGGGCTCTACCTGGCTGTTTTGCGGTGTGCCTGCCCGCCTCTGGAGGACCTCATGGCGTCCTAAAGAACAAGAGAGGAAAAACAAGTTACTGCCATCGCTCTGGAGCCACAGCAGCCACAGGTCACCAAGTGCAGTGATGCTTGGAGCATCCATCCCTGACACACTGTCACCAAATCACATCCAATGAGCATCCCAGTGGCACCATGTGCCCACATTGACACAAGCAGCCCCCGGTGCACACAAACTTGGGGACAGCACGATGGCAGCCCCATAATACCTGGCCACAGGACAGGGCAGGTCTGCAGCCCACAGGAGGCTCATGAGGCCAGGCACTGCCGTTTGATTTGGCCAAGCCAAAAGCTGGGAGGAAATGTTTGAGCTCTCCAAGCAGGAAACTTCTATTTATGCATGTTCTCCAGCCTCAAGAATTTCATCTGCAGTCAGTTTGTTGGGTGACTTTGCGACCTCAGCCAAAAAACAAAGCAAGGTTTCCAAAAAAAACCACTAAGGGAAAATACACTCACACCTCATTAGTTTTAGGATCTCCTACTAATAAGGAGGAGTCCTTTAAAGACTCATCTAGCACGGGTGGTGCATTCCGATTCCTAGGAAATCCAAACCTCAATAACCAGTAGAGCACCACGGGGCTGCAGGAGGTGCCACCAACCCCAAAGGCTGGAAGAGATGCTGCAGAGACCCCCTGTGGAGGGGGGAGGGCCTCAGATCCCCATCCAAACCTGCCTCCCACCCTGTATCACCTCAGCATGTCCCCTTGCTCTTGGCATCATCCAAAAGCCATAGGTCCTTCCTGCCTCCAGCCGCTGGCACGGTGACCTCAGCCTCAGGGAAGGATGCAGAAACACTGACAAATTCCCCAAGAGAAACAAAGCAACAAAGGGGTTCCTGACTCCTCACTGGACATTTCCAGCCCTGGTGCATGCGGAGGCGGGTGAGCAGGGGGAAGCCGTCTGCGTTGACTTTGGCAGGGCATTTGTCTACACTGTCTTAGCAATTTCATGTCCACAGATTAAAAAGCGGATCCCTAGCTCTATGGACAGGAAAGCCGGCTTTGCAGCAAAAGCCTCCACTCCAAGGCCTCTGCTGGGCTCTGCTACTGCCTCTGCCCATCACCTTAGGCATCAGCATGGCCCTGGAATGGGGGTCCAGCAGCAAAGGGAGGTCATGGGATAAGAAGCAGGCTTTTGGCTGTGGGATAGGCACAATTAAACCCCAGTAAGGTCTCAAGGTGAAAAGCAGCCTCTGCCAGCACATGGCACTTACCGGGGTGTCCACCTGCTTGGTGATGCTCTGCCCTGGGGACGGCTGTGGCAGGCATGAGAGTGAGAAAAAGGAGAAAAAGAGAAGGAGAGAGAGGTTGAGAGGCACATGCACACGTGCAGGGGGGTGGCTGCGGTCATGAGTTCCCCCTGTCTATTTCTGGCCCTTCTTAGGAAATGCTCCATGATGCCGTTTCCTTCCTTTCCTCCACGTGTCTGTTCTTCCTAAAAGCCAGGAATCCCTCGAAACCCAAGTACAGCACCAGGGCAGTGCACAGCCCCACTGGGGGCCACTGCCCTCCTGTTTCACCCCTGCATCCCCCATGGCACCACCCTACTCCCATCCCATCCCATCTGCAGCAGGAGGTCATTTTCAAGAAAAGCAGCCCGCAGCTTCAGCTGTGCTCCCAAACCAGGGCTGTGGTGCAGTGGGTAAACAACAGAGAAGCCCCATCTCCAGACACTGCTCCCCAACATAAACACAGTGCCACAGCGGGATGGCCAGGGTCCCAAGCAGGGGGTGCTCAGGGAAGAATGATTTCAGTGAGATGTCACTGGCAGCCTCTGGAAAGCTCTGAGAAGGGACTGTAGTCTGGGGGAGGGTCTCCTGACCCCAAGTATAGGGGCAGGGGACAGAGTCATTGCCTAAGGATAGCCAGTCAGGTGGCACACAGGGGGATCTCAGCCCGGGACCAGGAGACAAAGAGGAAGCCAGGACCAGGCTTTGTCCTCCTGCTACAGTTGCTCCACAGGCGAGAGGGCAAAACCCTTTCAATTTCCTCCCAAAGCCACAGTAACGGTCCCAGCTCAAAGCCAACACATTTTTGCCAGCGATAAGTGCCTGCGGCAGTGCAGGCAGAGATTAAGCCCAGGGCAGATAACCATGGTGGGGCTCATGTGCTGCCCTCATGAGCTGCCCTCATGAGCTGGCAGGAGCTGAGACAAGCACCCACTGTGCCCAGCTGGGGTTACACAATGCAGCACCCAGCACCATGCCACTGCTACAACCCTATCCTGCCACCACACCCCGTGCTTCCCATGTCCTGTGGGAAGGGCTCCTGTCACCCCAGCAGCTCTCCAGACCCACGCACATCTGGCTGCTCACTAAAAATCCCCCGCAGGGACAAAAAGCAGGGGGTAACAATAGCTGGGGATGCTCACACTTGACTTTGGGAGCCCATAGCCAAAAACGCATCTGCTACAGCTATCTCCGGGCGTGCAAAAAACCGCCTCGCTCCAAGCCAGGAGGAGGGACACCAGAGTCTGGAATGGTCACGTCCCACTGCTGTCCTTCTAACAGCCCAAGGAGAGACAGCTCGCCACAGAGTCTTCACTTACCAGCTCATAGTTGACAGCAGGGGAGCAGGGAGTAGCAGCCTGCAAGGGAGCAGAGAGAGGCACCTATTAGTCCCTGCAGCACCAGGTACAGGAAAGGTGCAACAATCCCCTGCTCAGAGCACAGAGCTGAGCATGCCCCAACCCTGGGTGGGCAATCTCAGACCCAGGTGGTCAACTCCAGATGATCATTCTCAGACCCAGGTGGGCACTGTAAGGTTGATGCCAGGAGCACCTGGCACAAAACCCAGCCCAGCCTTCTCTGAGTATTTCTGCAGACGCCAGCTGAACAGCTCGGCTATTGTTACCTTAATTACCAGAGGCAATTACTGCTAATTAACCTTGGGTTTTGCATGCACCCCAGCAGCAGCATGCTGCAAAGGGAAAGGCAGTGCTGGGTTGGTGGTGCCCACAGGGACACAGGAACAGCACTGCAGGCTGGTGGGGGCCTAAGGATGGCAGTGGTGGTGGGAGAATGCAATTTGGAGCACCTCATCCCCTCCATCCCAAAAATATTCTCAATTGGGACCCCTTACAAGTCACCCCGTGCCAGGCACTGACATGCTCAGCAATATACCTCTCACACCCTGCTCAGCATCTCCCTGGCAGTGGACCACAAAATGGGGATTTTGCCCCCAAACACCCCACTCCCAAGAGCTGTATCCTGCCCCATCCCCGTGGTGGAGAGCCTCCAGCTGCCAGAGCGTTCCCATTCCGCCTCTGTGTTTTGTTCAGGGGTTCCTCCTCCTCCTTCTCCTCCCGCTCCCTTCCCCTGCGCATTATTATTATGATTTTATTCTAATGCAGAAACGCTTCCATAAAAGGCCCCTTTCCCTGCCCTGCGGTGCTGGCCCCACGCCAGCCTCCCTGGAATGTTCTCCGGCAGCAAAGTGGCCATGGACGAGGCCGGCACAGGGCCGTGCTGCACCCCACATCCCCCTAGGGATGCTCGCATAGGGTCCCCCAGCAGCCCAGCCCCCCAGTTCCTGAGGCCGGGGATGGGGCAGACCCCCAACTGTGGGACACTGAGGGTAGGTAGGACATTCCCCACTCAGCCTCTGGCTTCTGCACCTGGAGGTTTTCAGCTGCAGAATGGACAAAAGTGAGGTGGCTGGGGTGGGACCTCCCTGTCCTAATTCTGTGATGTCTAATATGGGGTTAGCCCTTCCTTGTGACACTGAGCTCCTGACGCAGGCACACAGGAGCACCCCAGGAAGATGGAGAGAGAAGCTGCAGACCACGCAGGTGACAGGGCCACCGCCATCCCCTGTGTCCCCCATAGAAAGGTGGGGGGTCCCACACAACCCCTGGACAGTTCTGCCCGACCGCAGCAGACACAGCCGCCTTTCTTTTCCCCGTTCCGGTGTTTGCATTCCTGCCGCACAGCTCGCGCCGCCACGACCCCTCCACCCGGCAGCCCTGCCCAGGAATGTGAGGAACGAGGCACAGCGGGGCGGCTGCCCACCCTCAGCCCCCCACGCCCCCCAAGTCGCAGGCCCCCCCCCAAAGGTCCTCACAAGGGCCCAGCCATCTCCTCCCAGGTGAAGGCTGGGCAGCAAAATACACACAGCCCAAGCTTCCAACACAGCCCGTGTGGACTCTCTAACGTCTCGTACGGGGTTGCGTGCAGAGCACCACTGAGCTCTCCACATCCAACCATCTCCAACTGCCGCACCTGCACAACTTCACACCCTCAGGATGCCACAGCCCTGTCCCCGTGTCCTGCACGGCCATCGGCACACACCTCCCTCCCAAAGCCTTCCTCTCCCTCCTCCTCCTCCAGGTCCTGCTGCAGCTGCAGCTTCCCCGCAGGGCTCTCCCCAGCGCCTCACAAACCTCCTTGGAGGGAGCAGTCTGGCTCAGCATGGGGTGGGCTGGGAGATTGCGGGGGTTCCCCCCAGCCAGGCTGCAGGCACTGAGGGTGCAGCGCTGCTGCTTACAGGGCTGGGTGAGTGCTGGCCCTCATCCCGTCCGGCTGCCGGTGGGTCGCCCGGGCCCATCGCTGACGCATATCCCTTCCTTTGGGTGGTGGTTTTTGTTTTTCCCTTCCCCAGGAGCTCTGATAAACATCCCCAAGCTGTCCGATATCCGGGCCGGTGCTGACCCTTGCAGTGCCAGGATCATCGAAACCTGGCATGCACTGCACAGATGAGCAAAGCCCCACACTGAGACTGCAGTGCGGACAGTCCCTGTACCCAGAGATGCAGAGCCCATCAACAGCGTGGCAGTGGGCAGGAAGATGCCAAAGAGGACAGTGACTCAGTGACTCAGTGACTTGATCACTGTCCCACAGGATGGTGCTGGGGTGGCACCAGAGGCAGCTCAGTGGAGATTCTGCGTCACCCCAGCTGTCTCCTTGCACTCAGTGCCACGCGTCACCTCACGTCCCAGCTGTGCATCACCTCCCCAAGCAAAAGGCTGGGTGGCTCAGTGGTGGCACCGAAAGTGACTGATGCACACAGTCACCCTCTCCATGCCACTCCTTGGTCCCACCACGTGCTCCTGTGGCCAAGCCCAGTTCTGCACCACGCGTCCCTCGTAGCTCCCGCTAATCTCCTGTTTATGCAACAAGTCCCAGGCAGGAGGATGGCACACTTCCAGCTGCACTCCCCCTGCCAGCCCCACCCTGCACTGGGCAAAGCATTGAGCTATCTGCACAGGGTCCCAGGACTGGGGGCAGCACACCGGCATGGCAGCTTTGCGAGTTCCCCCCCTTTGCTGAGGGTTGGACGTGTCAGCAGCCCCAGGAGAGCTTTGGCGGCAGATGGGGTGAGTCAGGAGCCGGGTGGACACCGGAGCACAGAGGTCTTGCTGCTCCCAGGCTTCCCTCTAAGCATCCCCTTCCAGCTTCCGCCAGCCTCACCATGTGCCTGACCCTGTAGCCTGGCTGCGCCCATGTCAGGCACTCCCACAGCAGAGTAGAGGCCATGGGCTGGGCAGCACCCCATCCTCGTGGCTGTGTTGTGCAAGAGGTACCAGTGGTTTATGAGGCAGGGGATGTTCTCCTCCTATCACCAGGAGCTCCTGCAGGCTTGCTGTGGGGTGAACCTCCAAACATCCCATTGCAGTCACCCCGTAACTAGAGTTCTGCTCGGCACGGGGACCCCAGCAGCATCTTTCCCCTGGGGACAGCAATGATTTCCAACACTGCACACAGAGTCACCATGTTGCACAAGCCAGCCACTCCGATGACATGTGGGTGGCTGGTTAAGCTCACACTGGGGACGTGCTCCCTGCCTCGCGCCTCAGCAACATTGCCTTTCCAGCACCTCCTTGCTGCTGTTTCCAACAAACACCTCTGAGCGCCGGCCCCATAAACACCCTCACGGAAAAAGTCCCCAGCCCCTGGCACCTCAGCGAACTCGAGGGCACCATGTAAGGGAAGGCGGAGGGATCCTGTGCAGCCGCCCCGTGGTGATAGACCCAACCGGGATGGATTCCACCCTGGTGTTCCAGCAGTGGGGTCAAGGAGGGTGACAGCCCCAGGGCTCCCGGTGGCATGTCACTTGTCGGGCCGGCAGCCCCAGTGCAGGGGAACTGAGTCAGGAAGGCGATGCATGGGGTAACTGCGGGGCCTCGGGCTCCGGCTGGTTTCAATTGAATCTGCAGCACCAAAATAGCCTTGATTTCAACCCAAATAAGGGCTGCTCCTGGCTCCCAGGGGTTTGAGCCATTGGCCCAGAGGTTGCAGAGGTTGGAATTGGGGAAGGGGGAGAAAACCAGCATCCCTGAATCTGTTTTGGATGAAAAGTGGTTTTTTTGGGTCAGAGTGGAGCAGAGGAACTCCACATGTCCCAGACTGGGGCAGGTCCTGTTCTGCCTCCTACCGTGGGTGCTGGGCTCGGCACGGGGCTGGCCACGAGCGGAGACGTGCTGTGCTCCAGCACCTAAAAAGGCAACGTTCCCAGCGCCGCTCCGGCCCTGAGTCCAGCGCCTGCTCGGCTGCATCCCCAAAGCCTGTTCCATGGCTGCTGTCCCTGCCCAGCTGTCACCCACAGGCACTGCAACACCTGTGGGCACTGCCATCCCTGGGTGTAGGGACACCCATCACCCTGATATGGAGACCTGCTCCCAGCATGCTCCTGGCTGATGAAGGAAGCTCTTAAGAAGAGCAGGAATGGTGCTGGGGCCTTTGTAACAGGGTCCCCGTTGTCCCCAGCCCCATGACAGCTCTATCCAACAGGGCGAGGGGGATCCCACATTCCCCATCTCCCCCAGAATGGCCATGTGGATTGGCTGGGAGGAAGGCTGTTTGGGGGCAGGGAGCTTTGTTGGGATTGGGCTATGCATGGGTTCTCATGTGGGACTGGTCAACAGATGGATTCCCATAGTCAATACAGAGATTCCCACATGGGATTGGTCAATATACAGACTTTCCTATGGGATTGGTCAGGTCCCTAATACTCACACAGGACTGACTAGATCAAGGATCCCACTACAGGATCAGTCCCTGCATGGATCCTCGCATGGGCCCGGTCAGCATCTGGGTCCCCAAGCAGGCTGCATGAGAGCCCTGCATTACCCTGCACCCTGTTGGCAGAGATCTCAGTCCCACTGCAGGCTGAGGGCTGCCCGATACTGCCAGTCCTCAAAACTAGCCCCTCCTTTGGCACCCACAGCCCCCAGCAAGTGACACAGAGCCAAGCAGTGCAGATGGGCACAGGGAACAGCTGCCATCAGCACAGGTTGCCACAGGACATGGGGCACCAGGTTGGCACAGCAAAAGCAGGAGGACAACACCATGTAAACACCCCTCAGCTCTGCTCCATCAGTCCCCAAACCAAGCCAGGGCACAAAAAGAGCTGCCAGCACTCAGCTTGTTGTGGGGCAGCCCCAAGTGAGGCTCTGGACCCCAAAAATGTGTAACAGAGGTGACCGCAGCGCTGAGGAGTGGGGCACCGGGCCAGCAGCCCCATGGAGCATCACAGCCAGCCCTGCCTTTCCTGAAGTGGGGGCCAGCAACGAACACTGAGTCCTCAGAGTCTTTGTCATGAGGCTCCAGAGCCGGAACCTTCGGGGCTCACTTCCCCTGGGGGTGACCC